GTGGGCCCTGGAATGCTTCTTTTGTTAACTATACCCTGCAGTTGAGTCACGCCATTGCCGCAGTTAATGCTACAAGGGTACCGCCTATGGGTGCAGAGAGCTTATGGCATGTAATAGCTAAGGCTGCAGGTTAGATAAACCGTTGGTCAGGCTCGATGGCATTGCTGTTATTATGTTGTGGGGGCCCTGACTGTCATGATAGTGCTGCTCTCCCTGGAACGTTTGTGGTGTATCTGTCGCATGAGGTCTCAGCGGCGGCGGGATGCAGTCATGATAGCCCAAGCCTTTGCAGCCGTCGAGATCAGACAGTCCCCCGGTGCTTGGCTGGCCACCCTGGCCAAGTAGCCAGCCGAGTAGCACAGGCTGTGAAGCAAAGCACTGCACTTGGCACCCAGTGGAGCTGGAAGACCAAGAAGGGTACGTCTGATTGCATGTGGGTTTGATGCCCTAACTCCCCACCTCTGCAGAAAACAGGTATCGGGCAAGTCACATTGTCTCTGGGCGGAGAACACCTGGACCACAATGCTACAGAGCCTTTGCACAGCAGAGATCGGACCACTGCCCTTGCCTGTTGCAAAATAAAAAGGGGGAACTGTGGAGAGCTGCGAAGGACCGGGCCTACAAGATGGCGCTGGTTTCCGCCTTCCAGCCCCCCCCCCCCAGCGCTCTCTGTGCACAACAACTCCTTATATGGCCAGGGCTGCAGTCATGATTCACTTCCGCATATGCTGGACCCATGGGCGATCCCCACGTGGCGCACTGGGATTGGGCTCGGGAGTATATATTAGCCAAGGGCTGGGGGATTAAAAAAGAAGAAGCTTGCTGTAAGGGGCCTGAATAAACCGCTGAAGGAAGAGCTGTGTGTTGCATCTTCCTTGCTGGCGAGGTTGTGTGCAACAGAGAAGTGGATCAGGATATTACAGGGCCATCCACCAGGGACTCCCTCAACTTCTTCTATTGCCTGAGTCTCTTTTGAGAAAAAAATAAGAAAAAAAGATGCGTGAAGTCAGAGCAGCAGCATTGCTGAGTATAATGAAAAAATTGCACTGGCTGTGCGCACCTGAAGATCTTACACAGAGGCCCTACGTTGAGGATCCTTGGGAGGAAGATTGTGTGAAACCCACCAAAGAAAAAATACAAGGAAAGAGTAGCCAAATAATAGCAGAGAAGCAGAGAGGAATGTCTGTGACAAAACTAACTGCACAGACAGTAAGAACTAGGAGGAAGAGGAAGAGAACAAGTTTCATGGTTTGGTTTTCTTGTTCAAAATTTGAGGCTGGAAGAGGCCTAGCTAAAAGCAAAAAGGTTTGTTTATATCAGTCCATGCAGCCGCAGTAGTGACACAGGCATTGCTTCTGATGGGCTTTGTTATAGGAACAGAATATGTAAAACTTTTCTTTCTGCAAATGTTTGATATAAACGAGTGAGAACAAATATATATTGTTTTATTATATCAAGCTGAAAAATAGCAGCACTATGCCAACTTTCAAAATGAAATGATTCCAAATAGACTAAACAAATGGATCCAAATCACTCTCTATGTACATTATGAAACCAAGAATCAAGTCACAGTTGGGGTCCTAAATATATATATTTATAAGAAATTCTTCTTTGATCTTGGAATTTTCACTCTGAAATAACTTTTTCTTTGGTAAACCATCACAAGAGAGTAGGTTCCTGCCTTTTTTTTATAGTATGTTTCTAGAGATTAAGTCACTGTGGAAATTTTATTTTATTTAACTTTTTAAAGTGACACATCATAATTGTGCTCATACATGGAGTACAGTGTGAGATTTCAAAGTTTTACTTTTTTCAGATTCTTGGGGATTCAAGTCAAGGTTTGTGTGCTGAGCTCCATCCCCAACTACATTACCTCTTATTTTTCCTTTTGAGACAAGGTCTCACTACATTGCTGGATTTCCAGGTTGGGCTTGAACTTGAAATTCTCTTGCCTCAGCCTCCCAGAGTGCTGAGATTACATGTGTGTGTTACCACACTCAGCTCAGCACATGGTTTTGATACATGGATGTACACGTGTGGTGATCAAATCATGGTATTTAACACATCTGTCATGGGTGCATTTATCATTTCTTTGTAGTCAGAACCTTTAGCAGTCTGCCTTCTAGCAATGTGGAAGGACTTTGGACAAAGTGTGTGTTGTGTAGTGTCACTAAGTCCTCGATGACACAAGAAGTACTTTCCACCAACTAGTAAAAAGAAGAACCATGCCATAAAAATATGCTAAGTAGAGACAGTTTAGTTGCTGTGTAAGATCATAAGAAGAGGTGTCACTTAGTCCTCAAAATCAGAAAATAATGTTACTTGAATTATGCTCCTTTTGCTTTGCACCCAGTGAGTAAAAGTTCCCGAGACTCACTTTCCTTGTGGGTAAAACAAAGATATTAATACTCACTCTTTCAGATGCACTGAAATAACATTTAGTGAGCTCTAAATACAACATGGTTCATACAGTATAGCAGTTAGAAAAATATATCAATCTCTTCTTCTGTCTAGAATACCCTGAAACTCCTCTAGCCACCCAACCTCCTGCACAGATTGCCCAGGAATCAGTGGAAGGGAATGCAAGGTAGGGAATACTGCCAGTGTGGGAGGAGGGCAGACACGAGAGCTCCTATGCAGTATTTCTAGGCTATTGGCTACTTATGCACATGTAAATTTTAATCATTTTGGGAACCTGATGGCTTTTTATAATGTCTATATTGAAGGGACAATACAATTAGGTAGATTGAAATGTGTGTTCTGAGGGTTTGGGGAGATAGTTCAGTGGTGTAAGTGCCTACCTGGCAAGCACAAGGACCTGGGTTTGATCCCTGGTACCACATGCAGTGCCAGCCCTGAACCCCGGGCATGGCAAGCTGGCCCCAAAACTGGGCATGGCAGTGCACATCTGTAATCCTGGCACTGATTACAGGATTAATCAGCCTGGGAAGGCTGAGCCAGGAGGATTACTATGCGTCTGAGCTGAGTAGCGAGATCCTGTATCCAATAAATAAATAAGTAAATAAATAAATAAATGTGTCCTGAGATATATTTTCTGTGGCATGACAATGTAAACTAGAAGGGGTTGTGTACACATAAGGATTTAGATCAGATGTATTTTAAATCCTAAGTGTGATCCCATTTGACAAATTATATCAGAGACTTACTGGGTTCCAGGCTGCGCCCAGTGCTTCAGATCCCGAAGTGGTGAGGAGTCACCTCTTGGTTTCTAGTAGTTTGGTGGAGGGTGGCAGGGTCAGTGGGAGCCGGGTGAGGTGGGTGCTAAGCACAGAAGCAGCTCAGTGTTCAATGTCATGAATGCAAGCTAAGTTTCAGCACAGAAACACAGGTGAGAGCTTTATTTATGTCCAGGGCAAGAGCAAGGTGGTAGGTCACTAGCTAAAAAACAGAACAAGCAAGCAAGCAAGTAAACAAACAAACAAAAAGGAAGCATGGAGCTAGGTAAAAAGCATATACCTCCAGCAGGGCCGAGGGCAAAAAAAACCCAACCTGAGGAAGAGTGAAGAGAGTTTTCTTCTTTTTTTTTTTTAATTTTTAATTTTTTAATTTT